GACTACTTTAACTCTGGTATCTGGTTTAGTACCTAGTATAGTGACTACTTTAACTCTGGTATCTGGTTTAGTACCTAGTATAGTGACTACTTTTACTCTGGTATCTGGTTTGGTTCCAAGAAGAAGAGAGAATTGTGAATCTGAAGTAACCATTAAATTCTCCATTTCGTCCAACAACTTGAACGCTTTCTGTTCAAATTTATCAATATTTGGATAAAAAATAAAATTGTTACTTGATCAAATATATATTTTATACAATCAAGGTCTTTGTAAGTTTTTGCAGATTAGAATGATTTGAACAAAATCATTGTTTGGTTAAAAAAATTAATTAAATGACTAAATAGAAATTGTAAATAATGTTTTATCCAGAAAATGTATTAGGGCACATCAAATTTATGTTAGGCTAGGTGAAAAAAGTTGGTAGGTTTCAAAATTGGAAGATTTCAAAAATAGTTTGCAAAATCTATCAATAAATTCCTTGTCCTCCGCCCCACCGTGCAGATTCAAACTGGTCAGTTCTCCAGATAGTACATCGGGTACACTAAATAATAAACAGTACATCGGGTGCACTAGATAATAAACAGTACATCGGGTACACTAGATAATAAACATAACATCGGGTATACTAGATAATACACCACACACCAGGTACACTAGATAATAAACAGTACATTGAGTACACTCGATAATAAACGGTAAATCGTATACACAAGATAATAAATAGTACATCGGGTACACTCGATAATAATCAGTACCGGAAGATAATAAATAGTACATTGAATACACTAGATAATAATAAGTATATCGGATACACTAGATAATAAATAGTACATCGGGTACACTAGATAATAAATAGTACATCGGGTACACTAGATAATAAATAGTACATCGGGTACACAAGATAATAAATAGTACATCGGGTACACAAGATAATAAATAGTACGTCGGGTACATTAGATAATAAACAGTGCCTCGAGTGCACAAGATAGTACATCAGATACACTAGATAATAAATAGTACATCGGGTACACTAGATAATAAATAGTATGTCGGGTACATTAGATAATAAACAGTGCCTCGAGTACACAAGATAATAAATAGTACATCGGCTACACTAGATAATAAACAGTACCTCGGGTACACAAGATAATAAATAGTATGTCGGGTACACTAGATAATAATCAGAACATCGGGTGCACTAGATAATAAATAGTACGTCAGGTACACTAGATATTAAAAGTACGTCAGGTACACTAGATATTAATAGTACATCGGGCACACTAGATAATAATAGTACATAGGGTACACAAGATAATAAAAGTACATCGGGTACACAATCCCTCCTATCAATTTTGTACATGACCACTTAATTTACAGCAAAATTTATATTATTTATTTTTATTTTGTTTTATTTTAAGGCTAGGTAAGGCTAAGACAATTTCTGGGGCGAGCGCTGCGGCAAGGACATACCAGGGGGCCGAGCGCCGCGGCTATGGGGCCGGACGCTGCGGCCACTTGGTCAATTGTAAACATTAATTTATCTTTGAAAATATTCTCGGTCACTGAAATGTCCTACCTATGACATGTCTTTCTATGAAATGACCCGACACCCTATATTGCTATAAGGACGGAGCGCTGCGAACACAAATTAAACCGCAGTCCTCTCCTAGAGAACGATTTTTGGATTTTATTAGTAATATAATAGAATGAAGAGTGCCTGTTTATATTCGGGTCTGTCTTAGCGAACGATTTTTGGACCCCCCCCCCCCTCCTATCAATTTTTTACAAGACCAAATTAGTAATTATTTAGTATTATTTAGGGTAAGGTTAGGTTAAGATACTTTCTGGGCCGAGCGCTGCGGCTAGGACAGGCTAGGGGGCCGAGCGCTGCGGCCACGGGTTAGGTTAGTTAAGACATTTTCTAGGCCGAGCGCTGCGGCCACGGGTTAGGTTAGTTAAGACATTTTCTAGGCCGAGCGCTGCGGCTAGGAAAGGCTAGGGGCCGAGCGCTGCGGCCACATGGTCAAGTATATCAATGTCTAACATATAAGATCCATGTACAAAATTGATAGGAGGGGGGGGGGGCCGGGGGGTCCAAGAATTTTTCTCTAGGAATATACCTCATATTCTTCAAGAGGTTCCATAATGGCCGTATCGGATGCCATAATATCTGAAATGTTTTCTAAATTTTAATCTTTAACTTAACTAACAAAAATATTAGCATGTTCGTAGTATATATTTCCATTTTATGGCAAAGACTCCCAAAACGAGTGTTTTGGGAGATTAGAGAGCTGGATTTGCTGCATTCAAAAATATGTTTCAATAAATTTTTAAAGGTTTCTAGGTTTTAAGGACAAGACAAGTCCTGACATTTGTTTTTAGTTTGTTCAATGACAAAACTTTCGCAAAACCTGTTTTCAATCATGTTATCAATCCAATTCATCCAATCAGCTGATGTATTATGAAAGTGTATCCACCAATAAAAAGCTACTTAGTGTAAATTTCGGAGAATTTTTTATTCACACATATTTTTATTTAGCATAAAATTATCGATTTTATAAATTCTTTTAATTTCTAGAAAATTTTTAAAAATTAATGTAAAAGGTTGTGAGTAATTCCTAAATTTACGTATATGCATTTGAGAATTCATGACGACTTTCAATCATCAGTTCTTGCATTTCCTTCAGGTTTCGCGGGGTTTTAACGAAACAGTAAAGTAAGTAACGTAGATTAAATATATGAATATATAAATTTAACCTTTTTTCAGATAGGCTAATTTAGAACTTTGCAGAAAATTAAACTTTTATAATAAAATATTGAAATTAGTTTTTTGTTTTTTTTCTCAATATTTTCTTGTAAAGATTTTAATTTTCTGTATGAAGTATAACAAGTTGCCTAGTAGAATGGAGGGAAGGTTGGGACGGAAAGAAGATGGAAGATTAGATAAGGGAGAAGAGAAGAGGGCCGGAAGATCAGAGCTGAGAATAGTATCATCTCCATTAAAACGAGGACGGGATCGGAAAGTAGATCTGCGTGAAAAGTTGCGTAAAAATGCTGGTACGCTTGATGAAGATAAAAGCCAGGTAATTATAGTTCTATTTAGCGTTTAAAACTAGCCGTAGCGTTCAGCCCCTAGCTTGTTCTGCCATAAAGAGATGGGTCTGTCCTACGTCACCCCCCTCCCCTTTCGTTCATATTTGGACATGACCTGGATTTCAATTATTTTCAACAAAATCAATAACTATTTTGTGGTGAATCTCAGATATATGAATACATAGACCGTCATAAGTGTTTTGATAATTCAAAAGAATCTACTTGGGTCCGCCCTAGAGAACTATTTTTGGACCCCCGCCCCTCCTATCGATTTTGTCCATGACCACTTTTTCAACAATTTTCAATTAAATTAGTATTTATTTAGGGTTAGGTTAGGTCAAGACGCTTTCCGGGCCGATCGCTGCGGCCACATGGTCAATTATATCCATGTCCTACATAAAAGATTAGTATATATTTAGGGTCCGGTTAGGTTAAGACGTACTTTAACTGGGCCGAGCGCTGCGGCCACATGGGGGGGGGGTCCAAAAATCGTTCTCTAGGAAATTACCAACTACTTTTTATTTTTATATTGAAGGTAAATTAATAGCCCAGAAATATGAATGCTATTGATATATTAATATTAAACTCATTTTTCCACGGGGTAAATTTATATATGTAAAGCGACATTATAAAAATCTCTTGCTACGTGTTCTTGATTCACTGTATTATATTTCAGGGTTAGGTTAGGTTAAATCAATTTATGGGTCGAGCGCTGTTGAAACTCCTAAAACTCTTTCAAACGATTTTGACATTTTTTCTGAAATAAAACTCCAAGTTGCGAGTTTTTTCTTATAAAGATCTATTTATCTGATTGTATTGTGTGGTGTAGACTGTAGGTGACCGTAACCCGGCCTTTGAACTTTCAACGTACTCTTTAAATGAATTTGAAATTTTGCTGAAATCACAGAAATCTAAATTGCGCCTTTTTTTCTTATTAAGATCTATGATTGCTGATTGTGTTAAATTGTGTAGGTTACCGTAACCCAGCCCTTGAAGGAGCTTGAGATGGATCCTAGCACACTAGAACGGAGACAACGGGATATCACATACGGAAAGAATACCAAGGACTATTCAGCTTATAGAGATCTTGTAGAGAAGGAGAAAAGGTTAGAAATACCTGAAGTTTATCACAGGGGTATATTATTTCTTGACCCCCCGCCCCCCCCCTTTTTTCAAATAGATTTTTACAGACGTCAGATATGTTTTTTTTTTGGGGGGGGGGGATTGATGGGAACAGGAAAAAAGGAATTAATTTTGGCTTTTAAGTATTAAATATGGTGGAGTAATTGATTGATTGATTGATTGATGTCCAATTTTTAATTGTTTCCTCAGTTCATTAAAAATCATTCCCCTCCTTAACCCAGGGGGGGGGGGTCTAATATTTAAAAAATTTGGATTATTAAAAACAACGTATTTCAATCTTTTCATAATATTTTTTTCGTCGATTTCTTAGCCTTATTAAATTATGAATTGGTGGCAGGAAAAAAAGGAAAACTATTCTTGTTCTTAATTTCTTTAGTCTTTACATTGTTTAATGACAGAAATCACTGAATTGATTTAAACATTAAAGCGTACTGTCTTGAAAACCCTTCTAATATAAAAATAAAAAATCAATCATACTTTTCCTAATTAATTTTTTATTTTTTAGGACTTCTGATATGCCTCGTACACCAGACAAGTATAAGAAGTTCAGCAGGAGAAGATGGGATGGTCTGGTTAAAACATGGAAACTTAATATTCACAGGTTGGTAACAAAAATGGTTATTATTGAAAGATAATTATTGTAAAAAAAAAGTTTTTGGGAATATGTAATATGTATTTAATGAAAGTAAACAGGTTTATCTGTAGATCATTAGTGAAATTTAAAAGAATTTTCGGGTTAAAAGTATCTAAAAGTTTTGGGGAAAGCTTTCCTTTTGATGTCCAATTTTACTGATTTTCATAAAAATAATTATTAAAAATTTATATACCCCTTAAAAATAAATACGTTCATCTGAATTAATATCAGAGAACTAAATAAAATACGGGGTATTTTTTACATATATAACGCTATAAAATAAATACGTCCATCTGAATTAATATCAGAGAACTAGATAAAAAAAACGGGGTATTGTGTACATAGGCCCATTTTACGTAATAAGTTGATTAAAGCTTAAAAACTTATCAGAAATTGCTTAGATCTCGGTTCCACTATACAAATTTAAAAATTTGACTTGGCAATATGACAATTTAAGAAATTATAGTTAAAATTGGAAGGTACAAACTTTAATACTTACCCCTTGAAAACATTTCTTTCTATATGATGTTAAAAATAGATGTAGTTTTTTGTTAATCAATCCATCAATACACTCGTTTATTCCTCTAAATCTATGGGGATAAAGTTTTTTTTCAAATTAAGATGATTCTCCATTGGCAGACTGGCGTTCCCGATTTACAACGGTACCTTTAAAAGCTTTGTCTGGTCAATTAATAATTGTATATCCTTGTTTTTTAGCTGATCATTTTCGTCTGTGGTTTCTCCGATAAAGTGCTTATTTCTCGCTTTTTCTTTTGAGAAATTATCAGAATTAAAAATTGAGCCAAAAACTACGACATCTTCCACATTATTGACCAGGTATACAGGGTGTCCCACATCATATTAGATCGTGTTATAGCTTCAAAAAATACGATATCTTCCACATTATTGACCAGGTATACAGGGTGTTCCACATCATATTAGATCGTGTTATAGCTTCAAAAAATACGACATCTTCCACATTACTGACCAGGTATATAGGGTGTCCCACATCATATTAGATCGTGTTATAGCTTCAAAATGCGATCTCCGGGACTAATAAAAAAATTAAAGAAGAACGAATCATGTAAAAAAATTGTATATTGCTAATATAAAGATTTGCATGCAGAAAATACTAGGTATTATGCGTGTAATCTGGCGTTAAAGCTTGGAGAGAATCTAATGATATGGGAAACTCTGTAGGTTTCATGGGTACCTTTTTGAATCGGGCGTGTCCCTCTCTCAAATAGAGGGTCACTCAAAATTACTACGACAGTCCCTTTAAAGTTGATGTTTTTTCTAAAATTCAGATTCGTCGAGTCTCTGGCAGTGAAGGAGGAAGGAGAGGAAGGAGAACTAGATGTTAAAGAAGAAGAAGATATAATGGAAGCAGACTCTAGGGAGGATGTCAAGGATAATTGGTCGATGCGACCTCCACTAACCTCTAACAGTAGCTGGATAGAGGAAATAGAAGAGGAGGTATGTTGTTGCGCCCTGTAATTCCGCACAATTCCGCGCATTGGAATTCCGATTGGAGCCCCTTCTGGAAAACTTTTATAATTCACTAGATTTGAAATTTTAAAACCAAACTAAGAACATTACCGGGGTTCTATCAAATTTTGAAGCAAATCGGTTAAGGGGTTCCTGATCGGACATACAAACAATCAGAGATTACTACTTTATTTTTATAAATATAGATATATTTGTCTCAAAAAGACTCCTCACAGCAACATTTAGCGTACCACAGTGTGCTTATTTACATAATTCAGGGGTTAAATACTGAAAGGCAAATAAAAACTTACAAAAACTTTCATGTCCAAATTTTTCTTTTTTTCCACACTGGGCATCGAAAATAATTTTTTAAACATTTTGTATCAGGGATCATTAGGTTTGATAGTTTTATTGGATATGTTAACAAAATCTAGCAAGTTAAAATTGCCATTTGGAAACCGGTTTTTTTTTGACAATTTTTTTTAATTGGCAAGGTCCCGAAAATTCTTATTTTGGCCTCATATTGCTATTTTGATTTTTGAATTATGTGCGTTCACGATTTTAAACTTGAACAGTGTGGGAAACGTCAAAATGCATTTTTCTTATCTTTTTGAATTGCGTATTTATTATCATAACAAATAAATATAAATATTTAAAACATTTTAATCAATTTTAAATGGGTTAAGTAAAGAAACAAAAATGATCATTTTAAAGCTTTTCTATTTATGATTTAAAATATTTAGGAGTTAAATTTAAAAGGTTGAGAAAATAAATTACGAGTACGTAGATAAATAAGAAAGTTTTAGGAATTAAATTAAAAATATTTAGGAGAAAATTCGCAGCCGACTGTCCTCATGTGAATCTTCTGATCAGGTTTCAAAATTTCTCAAATTTATGATCAAACTTCTTTCATGGATAGATACCGTATTCGATCTTTTTTATTTTTTAGTAAAACACGACAAAATACTAAAAAAGTGTTTGTTAAAATGGATCATATAAGCATAATTTATCTAGTCATTAATAAGGAAGATAATTTCATTATTATAAGGTTTTCAGTGTTTAACTTTGATAATTACGAGATGTTTTACTGCAGTAAAATCCGAGTCAGTGCTGTAGAGAAACCACAATTGAAAAAAATCAGTTTTAAAAAATATAAACATTGATATCTAAATTATACTTTGCCATCTTTGCATGGAGGGTAACTTAAAATTTTTGCTTACAGTCTCTTTAATTTGGTATTTTCCTTTTTGCTTGTTATATTCGTTTTATTTTCGCAAAATCGTCTAACAAGTATGCGCACCAAAAAAAACACATTGAATTTTTTTTTGTTAGAAAATAAAAAAATTTAAATTATTTAACAATCAATCTCTTATTTTAAGGGTATCAGCTGCCATACATCAAGATCTGTCACCCCAACCATAGTAGAATCTAAATTCGACGCTAAACCCGGGAAAATCGGCAATGTGGACGGTATGTTGGATGATGAAGGACGACAGATAGATTGGATTGAATAAGATACTTGGAAATGGAAAATATTTGTGCTATTATTTTTTGTAAAAACTCAGTTTCAATTTTTTATGTTATAATGGGATAAAAAAAGGTCTGAAAGAGAAAAGGCTTTTCTGGTTAAAGTCCTTTAATTTATCCCTATTATATCCCCCCCCCTTTTTGGAGAGAAACTACACTAAAAATACATACCCTTCTACTAAAATAGACGTTGTTCAAGTTGAAAACCATTTCTTAAATTTCTTAGTTCTCAATTGTTGTCCAAACGAAAAGTATGTTTCGTTCTGTATGTTTGTATTTTTATGCAATTAAAATCGTATTTTTATCCCCCCTCTTTTTTAAGTTTTGGATTTTTTAAGACTGATTAACTAATTTATCATGAAAATGCAAATGATTCCATTAAAAGAGAACATAAAATAAGAATTGTACTTTGTTTCAAAATAAAAATATAAAAAATATTTAGAATATTTTGTCCAATCCATCCATTTCAACAGAAAACCTGCTAAATATTTTGTTAATCGTAGTAGGTGATTATATCAATACTTTGAAGACGACTTTTTTATTCAAGTTTTGATTGTTCCAAGTTTTTTTCGAATTTCCAGTTTACAAGTTATCTAAGAAAAGCTTTTTTAATTGGTCGCTTCTTTTGACTTATATGTTAACAAGGCTTTTAGTGCGCTTCGCGCCAATCTTCTATTTCAATTGTATACAATGTAAAACAAAACCAAAAAAGGTTCGCGGATTTCATAAAAAAAAAATCGTGAATTTTTAAATATAGTGAAAATCGAATTTATTTGGAGGCTAATTTTTATAATTTTGGTATTCCATAAACCTTCCCTGGGGTTATGTGAGGTCCCACACAAAATTTGGGACCCATCAGTTTAGCCGTTTTGACGTTTATTGGATACAAATAAACAGACAAGTAAAGTATATATATATGTAGACTACTTCAATTACTTCAATTGTAAACATGTTTTCTTTGCATACAATGCAAAACAAAACGAAAAAAATTTCACGGATATTATAAAAAAAAATGTGGATTTTCATAATTTTCAATTAAACATAAAAAATCGGCCCTATCGGTTCAGCCGTTTTGACGTTTATTGGATACAAACAGACAGACAGACAAGCAAAGTATATATATAGAATATAGATGTCTATAGAATGTAGATGATTTGATAAATTAAAATTGTAATAATCGCCTGCCACTATAGATGCGATAAAAAATGTCGACTTGTAAAGCAACGTCATAAGCGCCAAAATTGTTATAAGAAAAGTGTTGACGCGCCCTAAAAGCTTAAATAGTAGCTTTACTTATTATTTAACACTGCACTATGCCTTCTAAATTATCAATTTTAGTTTTTAGTTGTTGCTTCTCAAATCATTTTTCTTCTGAATCGTATACCTTCAGAAACAACAAATTGTTGTTCATAGATTTCCAACGAAAGTTTAAAATCAACATTTTTCTAGGCCAAAAATTTCCAGACACAAAGCCTACCTTGGGTAGTTTGAGTGGGTCCGATCAGTTCAGTCGTTTTGACCGTTTTGATTGGATACTAATGGTCAATTTCTTAGACGTTCTACCATAGGTAGAACCATAGTCACACTATGGTTACGCTTTACCAGAGCAGTGTAGATAGATAGATACGACATATAGTTGTACAGCTATGGTAACTTAAATAAGAAATTGGCCAAATTACAAGCAAAATAGTCAAACATGTACTGTACTTTAAGCTGCATAGTGCAGACCAATGAGCCTAAAATTTAAGACAGGGTATCGTTATGAGATGCTATCTCATTTGAACTACTCCCGTTTGAACCATTGTTCGTTTGAACTACTGCACGTGGTAGCATGAACTAATTGTCATGAACTAACTAAGCGAATATTTAAAAAAAATGAATTGCGCTAGAAAAATGTGTTGATTTGGACTACAGTCGATATGACGTCATGTCAGTAGTTCAAATGAACAATAGTTCAAACGAACAATTGCTCAAATGTGAATCCACCACGTTTTGAAAACTAGTTTTAAGTACCCGGGTTTCATGAATGGGGTTAGGCAGTTTTGTGGATATCAATATTTGTGTTATGAAATATTATTTTATTTTGTTTTCTTTAATATTCTCACGATAAAGGAGTAGTGGATTTTAATAGTTACATGGAAAACAAATTCTTCATTTAAATATTTTCAGAAATCATCCCCAAGTACTGTAATATACTGATTGACCTTTGGAAGTGAAGTACATGGCCTGTACAATTAATGAAGGATTAGCGTACATCATCACTCTATATACTCTAACCTCGTTGATCCGAATCTACAATATTTTGACATCATATATATCAATTACAACAAACAAAACTAAATTCGTTGTCTCTTCAAATAAAAATGTCGATCAAGTTTCTGCATCAAAAATTATTCTTAAAATTTCGGAAAGTAGAAAAGAAATGAAATTTTTAAATACACATTTTACAGAAGGGACAGTTGATCTTCCATAGTGTTTTAACCATTTCATCACAATAGTAGACATCAATGTTATGACATTTGCCGATGTGTATCAATATATGTTGAATGTTGATGGGGAAAAAAACATTTGAAATTATCTACGTCTTTAATAATTATTAATTTTTTTTGAAAATTTGAAAGTAAAATAACATTGAAAGAAATGTTTTCTTTTCATGAATTTCCCTTTTAACTTTTGTTATACACAAGCTGAAAGGCCCGGCGTTCCCCGTGTAAAAAAAAAATTATTTTTTAACTAAAAATTTTTTTAATTAAAAAAATATCCTTATTTTTTAGCCTATAACACCCATGTTTGTCCACAAAAAAGTTCAGCCCAATCCGTCCAGCTGTTTGGCCGGCTATAGGCAACATATATATATATACGAATGTCTTGTTTTATTATGTAGATTATATAATTAAATGCGTATTCAATTATGTAATTTCAGGGGAAGAAAGTTCCAAACCGTGATTTGGCTCATACCTGGCACAGAGCGTCAGGTTTGTGCAAAATGTGCAAAATTATCTGTTTTTAACGGGTTATATTTTTAAATTTAAGTTGATAAGTAAAAAACCGCCCGAATTTTAGAATAGTTATAAGGCTACATTTTTATAACACAAATTTAATTACTGAACCCCCACAAATTGAGATAAATTTAAATTTTTGATGATTATTGATTTCATTCTAGAACCAAACACGTTTTAGAACATGTCGCGATTTTGAGACCTTTCTCAGTTTGAATCAATGGTACTTTCAAGCATTTACAAGGGGGGCGCGATGGTACCTTTGCCCTCCCCTGACGGACTCAGGCCCCCCCCCCTGAGATTTTGAGGCAAAAATTTCCCAATTTGCTAAAATAATTTTCCAAATTTATATAAACGTTTGTACCCGTTCTTCAAGGTATTAAAAGGAATTATGATATGAAATACATAAACAAAGAACTTGGTATATCAAATTCGTAGATAAGAAGAAACGTCGTGCAGGGTGTCCCACGAAACATGACAGTTGATGAATAGTTTAAAATGTCTTCTTCCATAATTTGATCAGTTGTTTGATACTAAAGAGATTAATAACGTCTTTTATATGACAGTTATACTAAAGTAAAATTGATCACAGTATTATATATATATGAGTTAAACATTTTTTTAAGAAATAAATTGCCATAAGTCTTCAATATCTAATACAGTATGTGGAAGAAGACCTTCAAAACTATTCACCAACTGTCATGTTTCGTGGGACACCCTGTACTTAAAATAAGGAACAAAAACAGGTAAGTCAAGCAATTTAGGATTTAGGAACAAGGCCAAAAAACAAAGAACTAGGAACATTATAGGGTTTTTTAAAAAAGGGAACAATACAGTAACACAAATATTGGGTGAGTTAGGAACAAAAAAGGAAGAACTACATTAGGAACAAAAGAACGATAAAATGAGAACTGTAACAGGAAGTTCATCTTTAATTATAGATTACTTCATTCAGGATTATTATTTATTAATTTTTAATCGAATTGAAAAGTTTGGCAACCCTGGTTCTACAGAGCGTCCCATACCATATTAGATTATCTTCAATCTTTAACGCCAAAATAAACCCTTAATACTCGAAAAACTTATAATTTTTCGCAAGAAAATTCTTATATAAGCCTTATGTTTTTTTCAAGATGATTCATTCTAATTAATTTTCTAATTAGTCCCGAAAATCGTAATTTAGACCCGTTCTCGGTCTAATATGATGTGGGACACCCATGTAGCTCCATGAGCCGGAACGCGTGCGAACCTTCTGCTGACCAGACTTCCGTTGTTTTTCCGAACCCGGAGGAAAATGGTGATAATTGAGGAAGCTCTTCTTATCCATTCATTCTAGATCCATACCGCGGACATCCTCCCAGGATTTAAATCCAAGTTTGCTCTGGGTGTGAGATTTTTTTAATTTTGTGAATAACAACCATGAGAGGTTTTATTGTATCAACCTATAAACTAGTTCACCTATCTTTTAATCGACCGCTCTTTCTTCCCTTGATATACCTTATGGTAACTTAAATAAGAAATTGGCCAAATTACAAGCAAAATAGTCAAACATGTACTGTACTTTAAGCTGCATAGTGCAGACCAATGAGCCTAATCCCCCCCCCTGTATCCGCCCCTGGGAAATTGAAAATTATATGCGTTTAGAAATACGTAGATTGTGAGAGGGAGAGGTTATCTGAAAAAAGGGAGTGAGCATTATATAAAAGAAAATTTGAAAAGATTGAGTTTAAGATATATATGTGTATCCTCTCTTGATCTCTCATAATACCAGGGCTAAAGGTTACAAAGGAGCTTTTAAGACGGTTTATTTTCAAAAAAATGAAAAAGGCGGTTAAAAACTAATAAAGTACGTGGTAAGCTAATAAAGTTCTTTGAATTGAAAGACAAAAATTTGAAAATGTAAAGATACAGCTTTTAATTAATAAAAAAGTTATCAACCATTTCTGATTTTTTTCCAAACACCGACCCGCATGCATTTTCCCGTCCTCCACCCTACCCATGCATCAAAAAAAATATATTTAGCAAAATTTGTTTAAAAATATTATGTTGAAAAAGTAAAGAAGTTCTAAATTAAGCCGTTTTTAAGTTATACAAAAGAAACCACAGGGGAGTGGAAAACACCTCCCCCCCCCTCAATCGTGATAGGGTTAAGAAGTTTTGCGCCCAACCCTATGATTAAAAAAAGTTGAGATGCCCTTAAAAAAAAATTGCCTTTAAAATAAATATTTAAGATTTCCCATAAACAAATTTGCCCAAATCTGAAAAAAGCCCCCCTAAACAAAATTTGCCCTAAAACAAAGATTTAAGATTTCCCCGAATTTGAAATTGTCCCCAAAAAAATAAAACTTGCCCCTGAAATATAAATTTAAGATTTTTCCAACATAAACTTACCCCACACGAAAAAGAAAATAATTTTTTTAGCAGTTTTTTCATTGTTGAGTATAATACACATGACAGTTGATGAATAGTTTAAAATGTCTTCTTCTATAATTTGATAAGTTGTTTGATACTAAAGAGACTAATAACATTTTTTATATGACAGTTATACTATAGTAAAATTGATTACACAGTCAAATATATATATGAGTTAAACATTTTTTTAAAGAAATAAATTGCAAAAAGTCTTTAATATCTAATACAGTATGTGAAAGAAGGCATTCAAAACTATTCACCAACTGTCATGTTTCGTGGGACACCCTGTATTTATCTTTTACACCGGTGCAATAATTTCATAACCTGACCAAATCAAGTAGTTAATACTACTGTGCTTTTTTAAATTTTTAGACGCATTTACTAAAAGCATTTTCGATAAAATCAAAACAGGCAATCTCAAATAGCTATTTGTCGCCAAAAANTACTTTCTATCTGTAAACTTTAGTTCTCCTACATTCTATCAGTAAACTCCAGTTCTCCTACTTTCTATCTGTAAATTTTAGTTCTCCTACATTCTATCAGTGAACTCCAGTTCTCACACTTTTTACCTGTAATTTTACAGGCATATTAGTATAAATAATAAGATGAGAAAACAATTTTAACGTTTATTTCAGATAATTTATTCAATTCTATTTTCGTTGTGTCTCTGGCCCCTGTGTATATAGTCCGCCTCTGAATAGGGGGAATCTATTTAAACTACACCTGGATTTAATGAATCCTCACAGTGCACAGTGCAGGGTTTTAAATTCTAAATTCTAATCTAAGGAATTGCAACTGAACACTCGCCTCAAACTCCAATTTTCTAATTCCTATATCCTATGCTGTTTTGTAGACCCTTTTGAATTCTGTTAGCGCATTAGTCTATAGTTTGAAATACTAGAAATTCAAGGCGCTTCGCGCCCTTCTTTCTAGGCTTTTAGGGCGCTTCGCGCCCATCTTCTATTTAAATTGTGAACATGTTCTTTTTGTTTAAATTTTAAAACAGAGAGAAAAAATTTTTGCGGATTTTTGAAAAAAAATTCGCGGATTTTCAAGAATTTAGATTTTTTTACAAAATTAAAAACCTTTAAAACACATTTTTTTTATCATTCATAAACCTTCCCTGTGGTCACGTGATGTCCCACAAAAAATTTGGGCCCGATCGGTTCAGCCGTTTTGACGTTTATTGGATACAAACAGACAGACAAATAAACAAACAGACAAGCCAAATTTATATATAGACTAGCCTTAGAGGGCGCTTCACGCCCATCTTCTAAATTAATTGTGAACATGTTCTCTTTGTGTACATCGTAAAACAAAACAAAAATAATTCGCGGATTTTCACAAAAAATTTCGTGGATTTTCAAAATTTTCAAAAATTTAATGAAGATCGAATTTTGATGGAGACAAATATTTAAAATTTCAATCATTCATAAACCTTCCCTGGGGTCCCTAGATGTCCCACAAACAGACAGACAAGCCAAATTTATATATAGATGACACACATTTAGATTTCAAAAACTTACAGTTTGTGTTGTGCAGGTGTTCAATTGTTTTGTAATTGATTTTGATCAGAAATAGGTGGTTGCAACGGTCGTTTAGGATACGTATATATAGCTCATGGTTTAAACCTAATGCAAAATACAATATCAATTAATACTCAAAAAGAAAGTTTAGTCTATAATCCTATATTATTATACTGTACTAGCCTAGGGTGACCATTGCAGGTATTTTTACACTCTGGATATAAGAAAAGTTAAAGAAGAAGTTTTTCTGCCTGATTATTTCAATCCTAAATTTACTAGTTTCTTAATTCAAATTAGAGCTAGGATCTATATGCCCGTCTACAGACCGATGATAAAAATTATTTCTAAGGTCCACTACGAAAGTAGTTTTTCTATCATTCAATGATTAAACTCAATGTCAAGGTATCCACCATGCAAAGAGGGGTATGTCCGATTTCAAATGGTAACCTTTAAACTTTTGACTAGGAGCAATTTTAAACAAAGCTATCAACTCCAGGTTCCTGTGATGTGTTGGGGGGGGGGGGGGGGGCGTTGCTTTCATACTCATTTCTCTCGATAGAGGGTTGACAAAAGATCAATATATATATATAGTACAATAACTTGAAAAATACTTTCAACAGTAAAATATAGAAAATCTGCCTTAATACATATTTATTCTGCTGAACCAATAATTTATTTATATTTTTATTATTTGTGAATGATAATCATAATTTGGTTTAATCTCAATAAATCATTAAAGAAGAATGAAGGATGAACATTCTTCCTTCATTTTCTTCATTCTTCCTTCATAAGGAAGAATGAAGGAAGAATGAAGGAAGAGTGAAGGAAGAGTGAAGGAAGAATGAAGGAAGAATGAAGGAAGAATGAAGGAAGAATGAAGGAAGAATGAAGGAAGAGTGAAGGAAGAATGAAGGAAGAGTGAAGGAAGAATGAAAGAACTATGAATGGTGGGGGATAATTTTAAAGAGTTTTGACGGCAAAGGGTGGAATTTCAGATTAAATCAAATCAAATTATTTATTTACTGCAGTAATAATTCATAGTTCAGTTATTTAACACATTAGTACATTGTAATAGGTAAAACTATACTGATATTAATTTATTTGAAACTATAAGCTGGAGTGTTCGCGTTGCCCATTTACCTATTAGTATGACCACTTAAAAAAGTGCACTTGCTAATGTGTCAACGAAAAAGTCAGTCATTGATTTATATCACATTTTTATTTCAGAACACAAAATGAAAGTATTTTTACACCGCACGTAGTGTTCATTCCTTCTGAGCTTGGAGAAAGTGTTGACACTCGAGCAGCAGAGAAAATGATTTGCTGTGAGAAGTATAAAATGGAGATCTTGAAGATCACATAAGAACTTATACAAGAGAAAACGGCCTTATAAACGGCACAATATGTGAATATAAATGGCACAATATGTGAATATAAACGGCACAATATGTGAAAACAGTTTTGTGAGGAAATGAAAGTGGCTAAGACACGACACGGGTGAAAATGAACTCTGAACTTAGTGAAGGTGAATCAGACCAATCAGACCAATCAGACAGAGAAATTGATTCTGATAGTGATTCTGAACCTGAACCTGAACCTAAACCTGAATCAGATATTGAACCTGCGCCGCAATATCAACCCTTACATGATATTTCCAAATTATGTTTGGTAAGTTTTAAAGAGATGAAAGTTTTAATAAATTTATTTTTGTGAACATTCAAAGTTCAAACCAATCTGATAAATTGTAATAGAAACTATTTTGCGTTCCCAGTTGTCCTTTACTATAATGAAGACTAAAAACTCTTTAAAGTAAATTCTAAGGTTGACTGTATTCCTATAGTGGAACTCGGTTATATCAAGACAACGAAGATGACTTTCTATTTCAATTTTGATATATATCAGGCTGTTTAACAACATGGATACACACATAAAAGTCAATGGAAGTTCTCAATTAAAAAAGCTTCTCTTTAATTACATTTAAACTTGTAATTCGAAAAAAGCTTGTTAATAATCAAAACTTAAATAAAAAGTCGTCTTCATTGTATTGCACTAATCGCCTACCACTGTATATATTTCGGGTTCCCCCCCAAAAAACTTTGCAGTATAGTTGTAATGGATACTAAAAAACAATTTACGTACAAAGTGTTTAATCAATGTGTTATCGGAAAGCTCTTTTGCAGATATTTAAGATGCTATCTCATTTGAACTACTCCCGTTTGTATTGTTCGTTTGAACTACTGTACGTGGTACCACGTGAGTAGTTGAAATGAACAAAAGTTCAAACGAGTCAATATATTGCTCATTTGAACTATTTTTAGTTCATTTGAACTATTTTCATTTGAACTATTATTATTTTAAATGAAATAAACAAAAAGTGCTTTTTTAAGGGTTTGAAGTCGAAAAAAAGGAAATTTTAAGTTGTTGCATGCAGATTTGGCTGTGTTCAATTCAAATCAATTTTTTGTTCATGTGTGTTTACAAAATTTATACTTCCAACAGCTGTAAAATGAATGATATGAGTCAATTCATTGAATATGTGTGCGAATCGCAAAAATGTATTTTTTAAGTACCTGGTTTAATTACAGATTAAATTGCAAGAAATAATCATAAAAATACATATAGGTAAATAATAAATTCAATCATCTACATTGAAAAAGGACAGATAATTTTACCTTTGCTCTTGAAGTTATTGAATTAACGATTGATCTAACCAACATTCATAATCTAAATTCATTTTCGATTTTATAGAACTTATGTCAAAGAAGATTAATCTTGTTAGTTATCAAATATGATAATCAGTTAGAAGTTTGCCAGGTTCAAAATTTTCTCTAGATTTGGAACTGAGTTTTTGCCACAAACTCAAATATCCTAATCCCTAAATCTTTGCACCGAGTGGTGTAAACATTTGATATTTCAAACTTGGAATATTTTACCAAAAGAATTTAAAGTTTGATATCTACGAGTACTCTATAAACTCAACACAAATAAAATACAGTTCAGAACTTTTTTTTACATTAAATGTTTAGCCTTTAGCCTTGAGAATTGAGAAAGATAAAATAAATTTTTTTAAACTAACTATAGTATAATAAAATTTCTACAATAACTCTATTGGTTTTCTTATTCCTGTGATACTGATTTTCGCCATTCTTTCTTTCTTTTCATTCTGCAGGGGGGGGGGGCGCGCCCCACCCCTCTCAGGTGCTTGGGGAGGGCGCGCGCCCGGCCGACCCCCCCCCCCAGTTGCGCCTCTGATAAAAATAGTGATTATAGTGCTTTTAGAGGATCTAATTTCCTGGATTTTATTAATTGAAATATTAAGATTTTTATTTTTATTTTTATTTATTGAACATCCCAAATAATGAAAAAGTTAAAAGGAATTATTTGATGCTTTTAAAGATGCAAATGGAAGACGACAGTTTGGAAAGCTCAAGAGTTTTAATAACACATTGTTTTGCAGGATGAAAGGAAAATAGAATAAAACTCCGAAATCGTCCCTTAAACCTCATGTTTATTGGGACACTCTGCATTTATCCAAAATAGTATTGTTTGACGGTCCTTTAAATATAAAATACAGGGTTACCCACAAGGATGAGACTTTAAAGACGACCCGAAACTCTAAATATACCAATTTAAAGATATTCTGCTATACATCTAGCCTAGGTTATTATGGTTTATTGAATAACACAAAAATAGTTTAAATGAACAAAAAAATAGTTCAAATGGACATAAGAATAGTTCAAATGAACATAAAAATAGTTCAAATGAACATGAAAATAGTTCAAATGAAATAGTTCAAATGAAAAAAAAATTGTTCAAATGAAATAGTTCAAATGAACAAAAAAATAATTTACATGAGAAAAAAATATTTTAAATGAAAATGAAAAAAAAATAGTTAAAATGAACAAAAAATAGGTCAAATGAGAAAAAAATAGTCACAATGAACAAAAAAGTAGATCAAATGGACGTAAAAATAGTTCAAACAGACAAAAAAATAGTTCAAATGGAAACAAAAATAGTTCAATGCTGTGGATCAGCTGAAGTAATCAGGGGAGGGGGCCAAGGGGGCCTGCAGGCCCGTGGGAGGAGACAGACATAGGGGCCGGTTAAAATCGCGTCGGGAGTAGTAGTAAAAAAAAAATAAAAACTGAATTGCGGTAAAAAAATGAGCAAGAAATGCGTTGATTTGAATTACAGGATATGACGTCATGTCAGTAGTTCAAATGAAGAATAGTTCAAAAGAACAATAGTTCAAACGGGAGTAGTTCAAATGAGAATCCACCATATTTAAAGGTGTAACTTTTCTTTCTAGGCCTCATACTTATTTTTTACAAACTTGTCTTTTAACACAATTTTAGCATTTTGAACTTAACCTATTTTTTGTTGCCAAGAAATTTCTTTCGGTTATTAAGGGGGATCAATATTGGAATCAACAATCAACATACCCCTCTAGTCTAGATAGACAGCTTGATATCAAACTAGACTTTTATTTGAGCCCGCATCAGTGCTTTAAAATAAGCATTTTTTCGAAATCTCTTTGTTATTACAAAGCCATATTTTACACAACTCGCAGCATTTGCACTGAACCTCTGTAAAGCAAAAGCCGACAAAACAAACTTCTCCCTTAGAGAAATTCGGAAATCAAACTCCCAAATAGAACCTAATTTTTATCAGAATGCATAATTAACAGCCAAAAATAGGTAATTTCCTAGAGAACGATTTTTAAACCCCCCCCCCCCGCCCCCCCCCACTCCTATCAATTTTGTACATGGATCTTAAATGCAAGACATGTGGCCGCAGCTCTCGGCCTCCTAGCCTGTCCTAGCCGCAGCGCTCGGCCCAGAAAGTGACTTAACCTAACCCGTGGCCTCAGCGCTCGGCCCCCTAGCCTGTCCTAGCCACAGCGCTCGGCCCAGAAAGTGTCGTAACCTAACCTAACCCTAATAAGGTGACATGGAAACGCCTCAACATGGAAACGGATCAAAAATAAGCGGAAACCCCTCAAAAGAAGGTTTTTTTGAGGTGTTTCCACGATTTCTTCAAATTTTTCGGAAATCCCTCAAAATTCAAATTTTGAGGAGTTTCCTCTTATTTTTGATAGATTTACCAAAATTGTATATCCATTTCCGCTTTATTTTTTTCAAATATTTTCGAGGGATTTCCCAATATTTTTGAGGGGATTCCCAATAATTTTTGTACGTTTCCTCATTTTTTGATCCGTTTCCTCTTTTTTTAAAAACTTTTAAATTGATATGTTTCCTCATATTTTTGATCGGTTCCCTCAAATTTTAGTTCCGTTTCCTCATATTTTTGATCTGTTTCTGCTTTTTTCAAAAACTTTAAAAATCTCATTTTGTTGATCGATTTTCTTCAAATTTTAGGTCCGTTTCCTCATATTTTTGATCCATTTCCGCTTTTTTCAAAAACTTTTAAAATCTCAATTTGTTGATCGGTTTCCTCAAATTTTAGGTCCGTTTCCTCATATTTTTGATCCGTTTCCGTTTTTTTCAAAAACTTTAAAAATCTCAATTTGTTGATCGGTTTCCTCAAATTTTAAGTCCGTTTCCTCCTATTTTTGATCCATTTCTGCTTTTTTCAAAAACTTTAAAAATCTAATTTTGTTGATCGGTTTCCTCAAATTTTAAGGTCCGTTTCCTCATATTTTTGATCCGTTTCCGCTTTTTTCATAAACTTAAAAATCTCAATTTATTGAAACGCACCAAATAGGTAAATTATTTTTGAGGGAACCCATGGGTATCCCGGCAATTAAAATCTGGCAAAGAAAGAAACACATAATTTTACAGCTACAGGGAACCCTGAATAATTATATCTTTTGCTGAATGTTATACAATCTTAATTTTTTTTTTAAATCTTTATCCTATGTGTTATTCTTTTTGATTAAAAACTTAAGTGTATTCGTATCATGGTTCGATACATACATACATACCCAGAAAACTGTGAAATTATAGGAAGACGACTCAATTTTTGACTTTAGTTCGATGAACCTAAAACACAACAATGGTACAGTGTGCACTGATCATTTCACTTTTTTTATTTTAGGCTACTGAAAGTAAGGGCAATTGTGTTGTTTTAACATCAAATACACTTGATACAATGTCGTCTTTCTGGTTTTCCCTGTAGAGAATTGTATTTTTAATCCTTAAAAACATTAGTTCGAAAAAGTTATTTAAAAATTTATAGAATGTATACCGTTTAATGAACGTGTACAGAGTGTCCCAATAAACATGGGAATTCAGTGACAAATTCGATATAGTCTTTGTTATGAATTAGCAGTGTAATTCCTAATTTCTAAAACCATAATATTATTATGTCTGCTAGAGTTTATTTAGTGAAAACGGTAAATGACTGTTTTAACGATTTGTCTATATGTCGCTGCAAGATGAACAGTGAAGACGGACAAGTTTACTCTGTTAGTTTACTGTAATTTGTTTGTTTTACTAAGTACAACCGTATGCATGGTCAAAACATAAACAAACAATTTGTAAACATAGCAGAATTCGTCACTGAATTCCCATATTTATAGGGACACCCTGTATGAAATCAGTTTTTTATATAAATCAAATATTATTTTTATTAACTATAGAAATTACACAGAAAAGACAAAAGGTATTATTTACTTAAAGGTCATACACTTTTGTATATGTTTTTTGATCTTACATCTTGATACATGCTCATTTAAACTCTTTTTCGTGTATCAAGCAATATATTGTACGTACTGTGAAAGAATTAAACAAATTAGTACACATATTTAGTCCTTTCTGTGGAATCAGTGATACATTACTTTATCCATATTTTATAAAAATGTTACAGTGAGAACCACAAAACCGTGGAACAGGAAGACAACTTTTAGACTAATTGTGCAGTGTGCACAGACCCATTTCACATAACAACTGATTTTTAAGGTTTTTGTAAAACCATTTGCTTTAAAACAATTCATTACATATTCAGATAATTGCTGTCGTCTTAATATTCCACAGTTTAAGTTTATATCTTTAATATTTCAAGTAGCATTATTTGTTAATTTTTTGAACTGGAGGATTTAAAGAAATTCTCATCAAAAAATAGACCAGAACTGAAAATTACGAATTTTTTTATTACAATTTTGCAAATTTTCTGTGATTCTGTGATTCAATCTTAATAAAATTCTAGAATTTGATAGAAATAATATATATACACATTTTTGCTTTTCTGAACCATTGATTTTGCGAGAAAAAAAGGTTCACTGAATTTCTTTAACCATTCGATTACAAAAAAATATAGAATTTCAAAAATTTTAAAAAGTCCTCCCACCCCCCCGAATTCTTATACAATTAATTCCCTGATCCGTGCAGGGGCAAATCTGTAGACTTAGCATTATGCTAGTGAAATCTAGCTTCTATGTTTATAGTTTATTTCTTGTATTTCCAGATGAAAGACGATATAGTATAGTAATAATTTTAAGTCCCCCTTCCCCCCAACCGAATTCTTATACAATTAATTCCCTGATCCGTGCAGGGGCAAATCTGTAGACTTAGCATTATGATAGTGGAATCTAGCTTCTATGTTTATAGTTTTTTTCTTGTATTTCAAAATGAAAGACGACTTTTTATAGTCGTCTGTAATCAACAATATTTATTGGGGAGTGTGCACACTATTTTTCAAAATTGATTAAATAGTATAGATGGGGGAGGGGGGGTACAAAACAGCTCCATTGAAATGATTTAATTTGACTAAGAGTTCTCTTTGTTATTATAAAAATTTGGTGTATTATTGAGCTCAAAGCAAACCCTTCAGCGATTGAAAAATGCCGTTTTTTTTACTTCAAATTCTGAAAATACTCTCGGTAATCCCCTGCGGATACCAAAAAAAGATTATTTAAAAGTTTTTGAATATGAGTAAACGGACCTAAAATTTGAGGAAACCGATCAACAAATTGAGGTTTTTAAAGTTTTTGAAAAAAGCGGAAACGGATCAAAATATGAGGAAACAGACCTAAAATTTGAGGAAACCGATTCAACAAATTGAGATTTTTAAAGTTTTTAAAAAAAGCAGAAACAGATAAAAAATATGAGGAAACGGACCTAAAATTTGAGGAAATTGATCAACAAAATGAGATTTTTTAAAGTTTTTTGAAAATAGCGGAAATGGATCAAAAATATGAGGAAACGGACCTAAAATTTGAGGAAAAAGATTAACAAAATGAGATTTTTAAAGTTTTTGAAAAAAAGCTGAAACGGATCAAAAATATGAGGAAACGTACCTAAAATTTGAGGAAACCGATCAACAAATTAAGATTTTTAAAGTTTTTGAAAAAAGCTGAAACGGATCAAAAATATGAGGAAACGGACCTACAAATATGAGGAAATTGATTAAAAAAAAGAGGAAACCATTTTACTCTAAATATTGGGAAACGGATACAAAATATTCGGAAATCCCTCAATAATTCTGAACTTTTGAGGGATTTCCTCGAATTTCTAAAACAACGGAAATTCCTCAAAAATAATTTTTGATCTGTTTCCATGTTCAGTCGTTTCCGTGTTGAGGCGTTTCCATGTCACCAAATCCCAGCCCCTCAGTCCAAAGGTTCTTCCCCTATCTGTTTTTTTAAAACTATATTAATTATTTGTATATTCAAAATAAAAGAAATCAAAGTTTATCAACCCCCTCCCCCTACGGCCTCCATACTTAGGACCCTCCCCGCATATGCAATACAAATGTCAAAACCCCCATACAAAATTTTTTGTTAAAATTATAATCAATGAAATATTATGAGAATTATCAAAATTATCAAAATTTAATGCTTTTAACCTCCAAGGATACTATAAAACGAAAACTGATGCATCTATTCTTCAATCTTGTTTACAAATTCCGCCCAAAGAGAACTGTTTTCAATGTGTACGCAGAGTATACACGACCGCAATCAACTTTCCTTGCATTACACCCTTGTTTGTATCTATATGTTTTAAAACAGCGAACTCAAATTTACAAATTAACAAACTTAATATTATCAAAATTGAATTTGTATATTTATGAACAGAAACGCAATATCACCCTTTACAGAAGTAGTCCAGACTTGAAAAGAATTCAGTATTAAAAATCCAAGATTGGGTGGAATAACAAGGCATGCTTATACACACACATATATTTACATTATAACTATACAAACGAATATTGTTGAACCAACTAAAGTTTATCAGAGCTGAAAACTTTAGAATGGGATATCCTTAATCCCGATAGGTTAAATAATCTGAAGATTAAAAATGAGTGGAGAACAAGCAATATTTAATCTCGAGATTAAGAAAAAGAGTGGATTAAGCCTTAATCCCGATATCCACCATTCTAAAGTTTTCAGCTCTGGTTACACACAATATTCGCCTGGAGGCAAATATATTTCCATTCGACTCTTCTCTTCAGATACTTTACAAGGAGAAGTAATTCCAACCGGATATTAAAAAATACTAAATATCAAATGCGGTCACAGTTTTAGACCACAGGAGCCTTAAATTTGGCAAGAACTCATATTTTCATGGATATTAACATTATAAGGTAAAGGGAGGACCCCCTGTCTAAATAAAAAAGTCTGAAATCAATCACCAAAAAGCTTTCCAATGACACCTTGATCAGTACCAAATACCTCTACAGTAAAGTTTTTTAAGGGATAAACTAAATATTCATCGGTTCCATAATCGCCCGTTTGCCAAACCTTGTTCACGCACATTTGTTCAACTATAAGCAATTAAAATAATGAAACCTTTCTTTTCAAACCCTTAAAGTTTTTGATTTATCTAACCTTGCAGTTAACTAATATTGATCAGTGAACAATTCATTTAAACCTATTATATTTGCAGAATATGGAGAACAGAAGGTTCCCAGAATCTAGGGATGGAGTGGAATTGGACCATGATTGTTCTAGAAAGCAGGAGGAGAGAATCAAACCCAAAGAAACTAAGGATCAGAAATGCAATAACAATTTGAAATCGGCATTGTTCAGTCACTTAGATGAGAAACGTTACAAATGCAATATATGTGAAAAGAAATTCCTATGTAAGAGTAAAGTAGCAAGACACATGGTTACTCACACAGGTGAAAAGCCACATAAATGTGGTATATGTGAAAAATCCTTTGCACTGAAAGAAACTTTAAAAAGACACATAAGAACTCACACAGGTGAAGAAAAGCCTTTAATTTGCAAAATATGTAAATTGTTCTTTGAACGGCAGTCTAATTTGATTGTTCACATTAAATCCCATCATGTCGAAGATTATGAAGATAAGAATTCTAAAGCTGACTCTACATCGCGATCTAAAACCAAGTGTGATATAAACCTTGAATATCAGCCTGATCAACAAGAGCAGGATCCGTTAAAGGACAGTTCTAGAATACAAGAGGAGAAGAAGAGAATCAACCTAAAAATAACTCCAGTTAGATCTGAGGATTGTAATGAGGTTGTTGAGCAACAACAGAAGCGTAAAAGATCAACATTAATCCCTAGCAAACGCATTGGAATTGATTTAAGAAAAATCAAATGGGATCAGAAATATGAAGAAGATCTCGAGATTGAGGCTTCAGAATCTGATCAAGAAACTTTATCTATAATTGAAATTGAATCTGAATCTGAGCCGGATCCAGAACCTAGAAAGGTAAATTGCAACTTCTTTAAACTTTAAAAAGAGATATTAGGCGCAACAAAAGTGCGGGGTGGGGGGCAATAAAGACTTCTATCACTTTAGTAATTGCAAAAATATGTATTTAAGTTTTTTTTGGCCAATCATGAATTGAAGTCTTTAAATTGAAAACAAAACAGAAATGGTCTTTTTTCTCTGAAAATTATTTTTCCCATTAACTTTTGCATTTATGACGCATGAGCTCTGGGTTTACCTGGACCCCTAGGGATTCCAGGAGAACCCGGAGCAACTGGACATCTTTGAGAACATCAAGAGTTTGTTGTTCAGAATTAATTTAAACTACATACATAATTCAAATCTTTTACCAAAAACTAAATATTGAGACGTTTAACTTTACAATAATAAACCTAATTCTCATTTATTATAACTTAAACATTATAAACTGTATTTTTAATCTCTTTTTATTTTTAGAATTCGCAGAATATACCGGAGGGCAAAGACTTGAGAAGGAGAAGGAAAGTATTTGTGTGTAATGACTGCGGATTAAAAGTTAGCCATATAGCTAATTTTAAAAGACATATTAAAACCCATAACAGAGAACAAATACTAGACTGTGAGTGTGAAGTTCGGGAAAAAAAGATTCCGCGAAAAAGTTCTTCATCAATTTTATTAATAGACCTAGAAACAAACACAGTTGCAGTGCCTAATAAATGTGACACAAGTGAAAACAAATTTGGGCAAAATAGAAGCATGAGAACTTCATCATTTAGCTGTCCTAGATGCAGTGAACACACCTTTTTAAAGGAAAGTGAATTTCTAGAACACATAAAAAAACATCATATTGTTTTTAAATGTGGGTTGTGTGAGTCAGTGTTTCAACGACAGTCTAATTTAACAGTGCACCTGAGATCACATACTAGTCAAAATGTAACGAGTTTACAATCTTCTGAGAGTGAAACTGAGCCGGAAGCACAAAATAAAGAACAACCTGAACAACATAATGAACCTATTGAACTGAACCTAGAACACGCTGAAAAGTCTGCACCGAAAGAATCAAGCAAGGTTTATTCTTTGAATTATGGGTTAATGCAAATAATTGGGTTTTAGAACGCTTCGCGCACCTTTTTAAGTCACAATTTTAGCTTTTGACTGTTGTTATACAATTGCTACATTTTTTCAAAATTTTAAATCTCAAAATTGTCCTGCTTAATTATCTGGTGCATTAAAAAAATAGTAAATGTTGACATTTTTTCGAGAAATATTTTTCAACTTTGACCAGCTACATATAAACCTTACCTGGGGTCATGTGAGTGGCGAAAAAAATGTTACATACTGTCCCAATAAACACGGGAAACGACTTATAAATCATGTTTGATGTTGATGGATAGGAAACAAAGAGTACAATAAACAATAAACATAGATTGTTTATGATTAACTTGAACTTTTCTAAATGTGGACAAATTTCCTTCAATTTATCAAATTAAACAAGATGTTAATTTTTAAACAATTTTGACATGATTTAGTTAATTAAAATCTGGACAACTATTTTTTATATCTCAGTAAATTTTTAAGGTACAAAAATGACAGACCACATTTAGGAAATTACAAAACTTTGCTCCATTTTTTAATGAAATTTTAACTTAAACTGTAAAAAATGCCAAGTGGAACAGAGCTTATATAAAAGTCGTCACTTAATTTCCGTGCTTATTGAGGGAACCAGAGTCTAAAATTAAAGAACGAAAAGTTTTGACTTAAATTTTAAGTTCATGGTTAAATGCCACTTCTGACTTAATTTAAACCTAAACTTTAACCGTGAGGTTAAATATTTAACCCTGTGGATAAATATTTCACTCGCCGAAATCGACGAGTTAAAATTTAAACACAGGGTTAAAATCTTGAAATTCCGCAATCCCTATTTGTCTATCATCATTCAGCGGTCAGCGGCTTTCAACTAGTTACGATATATTTAAAAGTAAAAACCTTTATTTTATAAATTTCACGTTTTAGATTAATTAATGTTTGCACGTAAACCAAACATACGGGTGTAACTGGAAATATGTTTTGTTTTCCGTCATGTAAATAATGTAAAATTAAAAAACAGCTGATTATACCGATACTTACGTAATAATTCTCCGTAAATCCTTTTCTCTGATTGGTTCAGATTTTTCCCGGGAAATTCAAATTTAAAATTGAGAAAGTTTAATATTTAAGTAGCTTCATTATTTTACAGAACTTTTAACCTCGAACTTAAAATTCGCGCATTCTTTAGTTTTAGACTCAGTACGTTCTTTGATTTTAAACTATATTTAATTTAACAATATGTTTTTAGAATTTTGAGGAAACAGCTCAAGTTAAAGTTTCAAGAGGAAGTAAGAAGAGATTTTCTCTTACTGGCGATGCCCCATGTTATTGTCAAATCTGCGACAAAATGTTTTCCGATAAAAATATTTTGACCAGACACTTAAGAATTCATACTGGTGAAAAAACTTTGCAATGCAAAGTTTGTAATCAAGCATTTTCTCGGTTAGATAGTTTAAATCGTCACATGCGCCGTTTTCATACAAAACAAACTTTATCTAAAACAAAACAATCATTTGTTCCTAAAAGTCATCTGACCAGGACAAGAAGACACATGCGTTCTCATACGGAAGAAAAATCAATTAAATGTCCCATCTGTAGTAAAACATTCACACGTACAGATAGTGTAACTCGTCACATGCACCTCTTACATGCCAAAGAAATAGTCTCATCTAAAAGAGAAACTAACAAATGTGATTTAAATTCAAACAGTCGTGTAAAGAAACGACAGTTAGAATGTAAAATAAGAAAATCATTCATCCGTGCAAGTGAACTAACCAGGAATATTCTAGAAGCAGAATATAAATCTGACCTTTCAACTGACGAGGAATCTGAACCTAAGCAATCCCAGGATGAAGAGCAGGAGGAGGATGATGATAAACTCTTACTGCATCACAAGGAAAAGGGACAGCAAAACCATGGACCTAGGCCTAAATCCCAACAAGAAACTGATTGTGAAACAGATTTGTATGAATGTAATAGATGTGATAAGACCTTTGTATGGAGGCATTCTTTAAAAGAACACACTAAAACTCACAAGAAACTCCCCTTTTACTGCAGTAGATGTGGCAAAACGTTTTCAGATAGCTGGAAATTTTCTCGACACATGAAAATACACATGAAAAATGCTCAAAAACAGAGGATGAAGAGAAATGGTTGCCCAGATCCTGAACTTATAGATATTGAACAAGAATTCACTCGTAAAAGGAAAAAGGTTGAGCATGATGATGATGGTGTTGAAAATTATGCTCAGCTGGAACTTGAAATGGAACAAGATCTTGAAGTTGATTCTGCAATTGTTCAGGGTCATGCAGCAGGAAATGGTCCTGGAATGGTGATCTATAATGAAGGGGTAAATGATCTTGAGATGGAAAGTGAGAATGATTTGTCAAATGACCAGGAGCTTCAAATTGAAGGTGATCATGATAGTGATCCTGAACTTGTAAATGATCATGCAGTAGGAAATGATCCTGGGATGGTGATCAATAACGAAGAGGTAAATGATCTTGAGACAGGAACTAAAAATGACCAGGAGCTTCAAATTGAAGGTGACCATGAAAGCGATCATGAACTTAGTGGGAAGGAGCTTGGAAGTGAACTTGACCCCCAGGCTGCTCCTGGTACATTGATTGAAGAAGAACCCCAGCCTGTTCCTGGTACATTGATTGAAGAAGAACCCCAGCCTGTTCCTGATACATTGATTGAAGAAGAACACCAGCCTGTTCCAGGTACGTTGATTGAAGAAGAACCCCAGCCTGTTCCTGGTACATTGATAGAAGAACCCCAACCTGTTCCTGGTACATTGATTGAAGAACCCCAGCCTGTTCCAGGTACATTGATTGAAGAAGAACACCAGCCTGTTCCTGGTACATTGATTGATGAAGAACCCCAGTCTGTTCCAGGTACATTGATTGAAGAACCCCAGCCTGTTCCTGGTACATTGATTGATGAAGAACCCCAGCCTGTTCCAGGTACATTGATTGAAGAAGAACCTCAGCCTGTTCCTGGTACATTGATTGAAGAAGAACCCGAGGCTGCTCCTGATACATTGATTGAAGAAGAACCCCAGCCTGCTCCTGGTACATTGATTGAAGAAGAACCTCAGCCTGTTCCTGGTACATTGATTGAAGAAGAACCCCAGGCTGCTCCTGATACATTGATTGAGGAAGAACCCCAGGCTGTTCCTGATACATTGATTGAAGAAGAACCCCAGCCTGTTCCTGGTACATTGATTGAAGAACCCCAGCCTGTTCTTGGTACATTGATTGAAGAAGAACACCATCCTGTTCCTGATACATTGATTGAAGAAGAACACTTTGAACTAGTAAAAAACCATTCACAGGAGAATGAAAATACTTCAAAAGAAAATCATCTTATGTTGGAAAACAAATGTGGAGAGGAAAATGAGATTTATTCTAAAATCATTCTTACTCCGGAAAATTATCTTGACTTCTCTGATCTAGATTTTGATAATGAGGATATAAATTATCAGCTGGTAAGAATTCCAGAACATTGAAGAATTCTTCAGATAAAAAGGATCCAGAAGAAGGAAATCATTTCAATGAAAATAATGCTCACGCAGTAAATAATATTGTAAATGAGAATGGAATGATAAATTTATCCATCAGTATAAATGTTAAAAAAATTATTTGTTAATTCATCAATTCAAGAAATACTAAACTAGTTTGAATAAAATGAAAACTATATTTGTTAAATTTATTTGATTTGTATATGTCCGAAATACCAGTGCATCAAAATAAATGTTATTTTTTTATCAACCTGTATACTTGGGAGAAGTAAGTTTAAAAAAATTTAAATAAAAGAAATACATGAATTTCAACTGTCCTACTAACATTTCTTGACACACAAATTATTATGATTAAGCAAAGTACTTCAAACGATAAGTTTATTCAATTTTGAAATGTTGAATTTGCAGAGCAAAGACGACTTTTACTTAACAATTTTTTCCTAAAAATGAATTATTTGCCAGGAATCTTAGCGATTGTTAACTGTTCAAATTATTTTTCTTAAATATTGTTGATTTTTAATTTTTTATCTCGCGGATTTGCACTATAAATCATAAAGTGAATTTATAACATTTTTACAATTGAAATCTTAATTGATTCTATAGACTGTTCTCAAAAGAAAACATTCCAGCATAGTATTTTTTAAGTTTATTCATTACCACTTATATTTTTACTACCAGAATATTAAATAATCAAAGTCTTGTGTGTTAGCATTGAAGTATGAAGACGACATCAAACGATCGTCTTGTATCTGAATATAGCTTATTATGAAGACTAACTCATTATTTGGGGTGTGTTGTATATAAATATTTAATGTAAATATATATTAACATTTTAAGCGAGATAGATCTGATTGTTGAATTTAAATAGGGCTCAAATGTCGTCTTCTTTCAAATTATTGAAAGATTTAACAAATTAAAATCAAAGAACTCCGTAAATCTAGTTTTATACAGTGATAATTAGAAGACTCTGGAATAGGAAGCCGACTTTCAAACTCAAGTAACGACTTAAATAGTCCAATGAACATGAGGCACAGCAATTGTGCAATGTAAACAGACCCATTTCAATTATTAATTGATTTAATAACTAGTAAAGCTATTTGCTTTGTAACAAGATCAAATAGACTTCAGTATTGCTGCAATGTCGTCTTCATATTCTACATTTTTTTGGTTATCACTTTAAGATTAGAAATTTGAAAATCCTCTGCTAAAGAATCGAATTTCGTCTCTTAACTTTTTAATAATAAATGGTTCATGAATATGCTAATCCATCATTTCGAAATAACATCTTAAAGATTCGTTTTGAAAAGCATTAATTTAACCGGAAGCTCTCGTCATTAAAATTTTCAAGCTCAGGGGAAAAAAAACTCGTTTCAAATTTTTTTCTTTAATTCTTAAGAAGAATTTAACTCATTTTAACAATACAATGATATTGAATATTGATACAGGGGTGATATATATATATATATATATAAAATCATGATTGACTTAAATTATTTTTTATTTATTCCGCAAAATAGGTAAATAAGGAGTGTCCTACGAAACATGATAGTTTAGAATGTCGTCTTCCAAATACTGGATTAGATTTACAGACTTTTTGCAGCTTAGTTCGGTAGAAAAATCTTTTACTCCAATATATCTTAATCTGGGATAGATTTTACTATCATAAAACTGCCATAAAATGATTTCTTTAATATCAAACAACATAACAAATTATGGAAGAAGACATTCTAAAATATTCAGCAACTGTAATGTTTGTGGGACTCCCTGTACACAAAATAAAGAATCTGAATAATATGGAACATTGTGGCCATGGATACAGATGGATATGTATTAAGGATTGAATTCTACAAGACATACGTGTTACATGTTTTAATTAAATAATTATAGCCAGGGTTGCAGGCTAATCATTTTTGGTTGTATTAAATCTTGGGTTTTAAACACAATTTATTTAAGAAATCAACAAATAGTAAATAGTAAAACATGATACAGAGCAATTTAGAAAAAGGCATAAAATTCTTTTAGAGATTCTTAAAACTTCCCTAAATTTAACATTACTAACCAAGTTTCAGCTTTGAAAAATATTTTATTATATTGGACATATTCATTAAGATGAAGAACAATATTTTAACGTGAGGGATCTGGATCCGCATCTATAATATATATATTTCACTTTGTAGCACTGGATTTAAGTTACAAATCATCTCTGGTCGTAAATATGTATTATTACAAATGTCAAAAGTTATTTTTAAGTTTTCCTTGAATATATATATTTATCAATTTACGCTACAATGGAAGCCATATTTAATTATTTGGAAGAACAAACAAATTACAAAATTAATAATTTTTAAAAGTAAAAAAGAAACAAATGTTTATATTTTTTACTAAAAAATGGTTTTAAGCTCCAAAACATTTTCAGGATAAATAAAAGTGCCATAAAAAAAAATCACTGAATCATCAATAATCAGGTCTGAAATGAAGTACTATCAAGATTTAGATTCAAAGCTTTTTGACTTAATTTAATTTTTTCTCTTCGTCTGATATATTTAAGAAAAATAATTTAAAAATGTTAAGATATTATTCCAAGAATTTTTATGAAAATGAATTTACCAATCGTCTTGGTTAATAATAATTTCTCAAGTCAGCAAAAATTTCTTCGTTTAATGAAATCAAATTTTTGAGCATACATTTTTGAAAGGGAATTCTTAAAGGGACTGTAAGTGTAATTTTAAGTGACCCTCCATGCAAAGATGGGCCAATGCCAGATTTACAACAGTACCCTTGAAACCTTTGTCTGATCAAGTATGAATTAGATTTTAATGTTTAATTTCCTTTAAACTTATTTTCATTTCCGGGTTCTCTGCGAAAATGAAACTTGTGCATTTTTTTTACAAGAAGCAATGGAGAAACTGACAGAAATAAGCACTTTTCAATTCAGAACAACGACGGTATCTTCCACAGTTTTAATCTGATTTAGGTTTCAAGGGTATCGTTGTAAATCGGACGCTGCAAACTTTGTTTGGAGGGTCACATGAAATAATACTTTCAGTCCCTTTAAGTTTGAGCTTCCTAGCTCAAATACTTTTTGAGTTATTGCAAAAAACGATGGGGGAGGGGTAATTGACCCCCCCCCCTCCCCCAAGACCAGATAGGGTTAAAACGATGATGAGCTAAACAAATGAAAAATTTGTAATTATTTCGTATCAACATATTCGTAATCTGGATTCTCACAGGGACAGCAGGGACAACAAGTACATCTGCAAACACAGTTTCCGGTAGCAGTTCCTTGAATATATAAATCAGTTTCCGGTAGCAGTTCCTTAAATATATAGATCAGTTTCCGGTAGCAGTCACTTAAATATATAAATCAGTTTCCGGTAGCAGTCACTTAAATATATAAATCAGTTTCCGGTATCAGTCCCTTAAATATATAAATCAGTTTCCGGTAGCAGTCACTTAAATATATAAATCAGTTTCCGATAACGGTTCAACTACGTATTTTGAATCGGTGATTCAGGTTTTGTCCATATCCTTTAGATAATAAGTGCACTGCAGAACTACAAATATAAATTTGAATCGACGGTATGTAGTTCAGCTATCTAGCTCAAATTCATTTAATCGGTTCCACATTTAATAAATAGTTAGACATTGTTGAACTGCGTAGACTAAGTTGAACCACTGATCTTCAACTTGATTTTGGCACAACTTCACAAGTAAAGTGGTTCAACTTAGTTAAACCGGTTCAAATATCTCTTCTATTTATTAAATCTGATCATCTAGATGTTAATTCTGATATAACGAATGATATAGCTAGATATACAAGTAACATATTTCACCAAAAAATTGTTGTTTTTTTGTTTATTTGATGTCAATTATTATTTCAATGAACTTTTTTTGGATTTCATGATAATCAAATCTTAATTTATTTAATAATGAAAAAAAATAAATAGTAGCCTTTACCGTAATTATCAAATAAACTGATTGGATTAGATTGTTGTTGTTGTTTTCTTGTCTGTTCATATCGTACTGTCTGCTGTGTTCTGTAAGGTCTCAACTGTCGTTTGTATTGTTTTTGTTGCTGCTGTTGCTGTTGACTGTTTAAATAATTTTCCGCCTCGTATAAAGAATCAGCTGGGTTTGTTGGATTCTTAACAAAAAACAATATATTTACATCAAAAATATATTTATTAAAGGGACTGTAAGCGTAATTTCATGTGACCCTCCGGCCTCCATGCAAAAAAGAGCCTGATTTACAACGGTGCTCTTTAAAACTTTGACTGTTTATCGAGGACAGAAAGTTCCGTGTGTATATCTCCCAAATGATATTTGAATTGCCATATACACGAAGTGCATGCCTTAACGTGTGAAAACACCAAAAAGTGTTTACTGCTAATCCGCTTGCAGACAAAGTGTTCAACAATTTCAAGCGTTTCTGTGCATTAATAAGGATATGCAACATCACTGATCACTGATCAGTCTAAGGTTGGAAGGGTACTTTTGAAATTGGGACACACAACTCTAAAATTGGAGGGTCACTTGGAATAACGCCTACAGTCACTTTAAGTTTAGAAAGTTTGTACAGAATTCTTTCATATTGAAAAGAACATAATTTAAAACTTTCATGATTAATCAGTTTCCATTGTAAACAAAAAACAGCTACTAAAAAACACCCAACGGTATTTTCTTTTCATTTTATTTTTTATTTTTTATTTTTTATAATTAATGCCCCAACTAATATCTGTTATCAGAGCTGAAAACTTTAGAATGAGATATCCTTAATCCCGATTACTTAATCTGAGTATCCAATGGACAAACTTTTGATTTTAAGAAAAAGAGAGGATCAAGCATTAATCTCGATATCCACCATTCTAAATTTTTCAGCTCAGGTTTTGTGAGATTGATCTTATTGAAACTTAATTTGCTTTAACAGAAAGTTATGTATCTGCATTGAACTTAATTGAATGTGTACAGTGACCCCCCAGACGACATTTCTAGAGTAGAAAAATGTTTTGTTCATTTCATTTGTGACTCAAGTTCTGATAATATTGGTATTATGAAAATAATAAATACTATTTTATTTGAAGAAAAAATAAACACAAAATACAAAAACAAGGTTTTTTTAAACTGAGACTCATAAAAGTTTCGATTATGAAGACGACCTTTTAGCAATACTATGTGTATTTGATAATAAAGCAAATACTTTTACCTGAAGCTTTCAATTGACTTATTCAGTAAAATAGATCTGTTTACACTTTCCAAAGCAATGTAGAAATAT